TAAATAAATTAGTGGTATCATCTCGCATAACATCCCATATTATACTTTAACTTGAAATGGTCTATATATCTACATACGTGAGTTTAAAATGTCTTATAGCAAGACATAATCTTTTTAAACTTTGACAAAGTTGTCTTAAGGTCTTTAGGTCAAATAGGTCAAAAATGTGTTATAGCCAGGGGAGGTCCTCAAACCCTTCCACCCCCTCCCCCTAACACTTTGGGGCAACTTCCTTTCGCTTTGTTTCTCCGCCTCCAAAAAGCATCCAACTGTTGCTTCCTTGAAGCCTTTAGCCTGTTGCCTGCTGTTACACTTATCGTATAACACTTCATTAGTCCTGGCAATATGTTGCTACGCCCACGTCCACCCCACAAACACCTCGACCCCCCCTCCCCCATTGCGAAGGCGGCTGTAACATATTGTAAACTCAGAACGGGTCCATGAATAATTCACACTGTCGGGCTTTCTTGGCCAAAACACAACACAACTCCTCCGACGTCCTGACATTGACGTCAAAAGCACAAAACGCAAACAGCTGGCCAACTGGCCGCCCACTCTTTTGTTGGCTAAGAGAGCCTTTCGAGACTGGCCAAGAAGAGCGAACTAAGAGAGGTCTCCTTGGACTGCGCATCCTGCAACGCGCAGCGCGTGTAAATCCGCATGAATGGCCGACATGAATGGGAAAATATATATATATAGATATCGAGAAAGAGAGTGGAGCCAGCGAGACTGGCGCACATGTAAACCAATACTATGTGGGGGCACAAATTTAATTATGCGCGCTTTTTTCGCTGCCTCGCCATATGCTTGGACTTTTGGCATAGAAATTGTGTCGCTGGAGCGGGCTAAATTTGCAATAGTCGCTGGGTTTCTTTGCATTCGCTTTGTGCTTTAACCTGTTTTGCAGATTGCAACGCTCCGGCTCATTGGAAATGTCAAAGTTAAGCAATACACCAATACGGATATACGATACATACAGATATAAACAGATATAAAGACGTTGATAGACCATATTGAAAGTATCGTCGTGCATAGCTCGAACTAGTTATTCAAATATGCTCTCGGGAGTCAAGACTTTTAGCTCTCGAAACTCTCGAAGTCTGTTGCCAAGCACGTTTTTCTGTTTTCTGTTTTCCGTTTCTTGTTGGTAGTGTTCTCGTGTGCATTTTAAATAGCGGGCCTTGCATTTGGCCGTTAGAAAATCTCAGTCTAACCTCAACGAAATGCACATTTGCATTCACATCGGTAATCGGGCTATATAGACCATAAAGGGTATCGAATGGGCCAAAAAGAAATTGCTAATACCATTATGCACGCCCCCTTTTGGACTATGGATTCGCGTCTACATTCTGCTTATATAAGCGAAAGTTAACCCACAAAAGAACAGCTCTGGAAATGTCAAAAATATACATATCATTTATATTTTTTGTTCTTTTGCTTTGCTCGTATCTTAATGGAAGTGGTGAAAAGTTGCTGACTTCTTGACTTCTTGTTAATGCTGCATTTTTCCTCTCAACCTCTCTCTTTTTTGTTTAAAACAATAATATATTCTGCTTTACGTTTAGGAAAGTCACCAGCGCTTTGACTTTGGTCAGCATTCTTCGGTGAAGGCGAATGCAGTTTGTTTTTTTTTACCCAAGGTAATCTTTTCCGGTAGTTTACTGCTACCAGTAAGTTTGACTGGTCAAGAGCTTCTTCTTTGAGGCAAAATCTCCGACGATCTTGAATACTTTTAGTTAAAAACTTGGCTTTGTTTCCCCTAGATTTCGCTTTCTTTTTAGACACAACCCTTTCATATGTATATTGTATTCTATATAAGTATTCCAGGGTACATAGCTAAATATATAGAAGATAAGCCGAGTTCTAAATCCGCTTTATTAGGCATTTGTGTTTCCATGTGCCTCTTATCAATAGAATGTGAAAATTAAAACAGTATTTTCAGCTTCCAACAGAAATCATTTTAAGAATTTATTTTCTTATCAAGGCTGGACCAGAATCGAAAGTCGTTAAGTTGAAACTTTAGCATATTTGCACTAAATATTGTTGTTTGCTTCGGAAACTCTGTGGGATTGCTATTCTTAGTAAAATGGATGACCGGTAGTCGATGATAACTGATCAGTGTTGTTGTTATTATAGGTTTTCCCCTGCAATCGAATTTCACAGAATTCCCCGGTCACGAATAAATATGTGTACTTGTGTAAAGCTTTAAAGATTCTGCTGTGTCAACTCTTCATTGCTCTCAACTGATAGAGGGGGAAGCACTCGAAGATCTCTGTATGAAAAAGGGAGGGGGTTTCTTGATAACAATGATCGGAATCTCGGCAATGCGGAGCACGTGACATTATCGCAGCTCTCTGAAGACCTGCTAACCCCTTTTGGGACTTTCCAAATTTCGTACCCTTATTAAAAGCGCCTTCCAATTTATTAAATTGATTATCGGCAGCACGTCAAGTCAATATTTTTAGTTTTTTGTTTTGGTTCGCTTGCATGGAAAAAAATCCCATGGCATCATAATTATTATTTTTTTTTGTTTTTGTCACCCATTTAAGTGGAAAATGGTGCGCTTGGCTAATCAAATTGGGCATTTCAGCGCCTTATCTTAGCGTTAGTTTATTTTATTTTTGGCTTTATTTTTTTGGTTACAAAATACTTTGTGATAAGATTGTTGATTTGCCTGAAAAGACTTTAGAATGATAGTTGATATTATTAAAATAATGCCAAAATAGGAAACTGATTGGCTTGGCCTAAGGATCCTTCATCGGAATTTCGTTATCTAGCCCTGGGGGATATCTTGACCTGATCGTGATCTTTGCTTCCACGACATTGGAGGGTATTTGAGCGGCGACTTCCCACAGAAACCGATAGTTTCTTGTTATGGGCACACACAGGCATTTGAGATACTTATGAGGTAATTGAGCGCACGCCCCGGGTACGGGTACATTGTACCGCTTACGGCGGGAAAAAACACAAGCCAACAAAACCTATAAAAACTGCACGCGCATTTTCCCGGGCATTGGGCCTATTTCGGTCCCTCCGTCTACATTGTCTACAAGTCGAGTGCAGTCAGTCGACGGCGTGCATTATTATCGCCTAATAGTAATGACACTGACGAGCCATACTCTATTTGACTTGCTGCAAAGTGCAGCAGCAACAGCAGCAGGCGAAAAAAGTCATTACTTTGCATTTAGACCAGCTGATAGCGACCGCTTATCAACTCCGCATGCGGCCTCCTCCCATGCGGCAATAGATTCTTTTCTTTTGTGCTCGGCCAGCAGAGCTTCCTTTACACAGAGGGAAACAAAATGTATTAAAACAAATAAAAAAAAATAATAATAAACAGCGGCATGATTTGAACTCGGACGTTACTTATCGAAAGCAGATGCTCTACCCCCACCTATTTTAAAGAAATGTTAATTTAACATTAATTTAACACTATTCACATTTCAAAATGATATGAAATCATTTATTTGGCAATAGAAAGTGATAAGAGCCGATTGGGCACACTTTGGGCGAAATACATTCTATTATTTGGTAAAACTGTGGATGCTTTAGCTCTAACATTGATTCATATTTTTTTGTTGGTTTAGATATTAGACATAGATGATATAAATATATGTTTTTCTCTGTGTACAACAGCAAGAACAAGTGAAACTGACGGACGACATATATTCATTACCGTTTCCGCAGCGATAAGCACTAGACGACGGCATATACCATCTATGTATGAGTACTCCGTAAACGAAGCTCAGTCCCAGCAAACTCATTTCATTATAGTGAAACATTTTATGAGTGCGCGGGGGTGATAGAAGAAACTACGAGTGACAAACAACCAAAACAGAAATCGTTCGCTAATGATAAATTTCTTTTAATTTCTTGGAAAACTCCAATTATCACTATCGGTTAACACAAAACAACTTTGTAGGACAGCACAACTTCTAAGTTATGAACAGAAATGTTTCCTGACTGCCAGATATAGTCGTGCTGCTGCCTCTTATCAAAAACACAAAAAGTCACTAAAAATTGTCTCTTCTCCCAAAAACGGGAACGCAACTGCCAAGATAGAGGCCTTGAGAACTGCCTTTTCTTTTCGGCACCATTCGATTCAGAGGCGTATCATATCTATCTAAGTATTTTGCAAAGGTTCGTTGTGTAATGCCATTGGGCTCGGCACTCTAAAAACGTCCTCCACGAAAACATGAAAGCAAAACTGAGATTCTGGGTGTGTTGTATATTACGGGTGTCTGATTGTCTGGTAGCCGGGCCATTCGATTAGATTTTCGTTTTTCACTATACTCTTTTTTTTCGGTGGGTTGGTGTGCGGACATTTTTATGAGGTTGCTTGGGACAGGTTTGATCGTAGGCCAGTTTGGTGATCGGCGTTCTCTCAGGTGACCGCATACATATAAATGCAAACTACTTAATATGCAGAGAAGAAAAAGAAAACTAGCTAAGGCCTGTGGGACCCTTAATTTTATATTTTTTCTCCTCATCAAATCGATCATTATACTTAGAATTCAGCTCATGAATAAGTTCACGTTTTTCTCCCCAACTGATAAGCTTAATGTGGGTCATTAAAAATGTTTTTCTTTAGGTTTTTAAATGCAATTTCGTTTCGTAGAAGCACGACTCTTACAAGTTTAAAATGTATACGAAATGACTTAATAATCGTGTTTGGAAGACGTCTCTAGTCAAAGATCGGAGTTCAAGTTTAGTCAAAAAGTCTAACCTTAGCTAAGAAATTTTCACATTTATTTCTGTGTGTTATGAGTAGTCGTCAGTATTTAGAGCTACCTAAGTATATCTCGAACAATTTCTTATCGTTTCGTTCAAGAGTTGTCGGCTTTAACTTTCACATATGTGTATTGCTCATATCAAGCATACCTGCTGTAATAAAAGCTCTCAAGTATCAATGGGTATGCCTGATATATAGAGGTTGGCCCCAGTGCAAGGTGTTTTTCGCGTTTTTTTGCTTTCGAGTGTGCGGTAATTTGAACACTTACCGGATCTAAGTCGGAGTCCCATATATCTTTGAGGTCGCCATCGTAGAATTCCATGGTTCTTGAGATTGGCGCTTTTGGACGCGCTCTAAGAACTCTTTTAGTTGATCTTTCGGTTCGGGGATGGTTTTGATGGTTTGATTCGGTTCCACTTGGTTGCAGTCACACTATTTTAACCCACTTAAAAACTGTCTTCTTTTATATTTTTAGCTTATACTATTATTTTCATACGATTTACGGAATCCTCTCTTGCTCTTGCTTTAATATACTTAATCTTCTTTACTCCTCGTCGAGCTCTCTTTTTTACCTCTCTTTTTGCTCTTTTCGAAAACGAACAGTTCTGGGTGATGACTGTTGGTTGCTTCTTTATAACACTTATTAAGGGGAAACCTGTTGCTTCCAGAGAATGTTTTCACTTGACATTGTTATAGTCTGCTGGGTGTATTGGTGTTGTTGCTTTTGTGTGTGTGTACCGGGCATTCATTCGTATTGGTGTTGGTATTTGGGGTGTATCTGTGTGTACGGATCTAACTTGGTTTACAACTGTCGGCTGGATTTAACTTGTTGCATGCGCTTGCTTTTTCTTGTCGGATTATTTATTTGGCGTTAACATTAATTGAATTATTAACTTTTTCCCGATTCTCGGAAACACTCGATTTTCATAGAAAATAGTTATTATATTTTGATTTCAAACGTTGATAACCATATAATTTAGTTTATTTTGGACTTGATTACGATTTCAATTGGTTATAATTGAATTTTTTAATGTGTTTTGTGTGTATGATGGAGCAGTAAACCGCATTTAAAATGGCTTTGCTCGGCCCGTGTATAATAGCATTTAATATGTGTAGTTAATATTGTTAACTTTAGCAGTAATATTTGTATGTTTGGATGTATATATGGGATGGTAGCACACAATTAGAATAAACTGTCCGTAGTGCGACTGCAGCCAAAAACGGTACTAAACTAAATGTCGGTGAAATTCTTGTGAATGCGAACGAACGAATCGAAAACGTCAGTGCGCTGCCGACGTCGCTGCTTCGCGCTTGGTCCTCTCTCTTTCTCTCTCTCCGGCTCTCCATCTTACTCCCTTCACACGCAGCCACATATGGCCGAAGAGAAAATATCTGAACTGTCAGGCTCAGGCCCTCTCGCTCTGCCTATCTCTGTTGCTCTCTCCCCATCTCTCTCTCTCTCGAAGCTGACAATGCCGGCAAACCGTGCTCAGAATTTTAGATAGAAAAGCTCGAACAAGTGATACTCCTACAATTGATATACATATTGTATATTAAACATAAAAAAATATTGTATAAAAAATTCCTGACTTATGACCTCTTAAGGCTTTTATAAATATTAATAACTTTTAATTGATATTAATAATAAAAAAATTGTTAGATTTCCTTTCATAAATATGTAAAATTTCATTTTCTCATTCTAAAAATACCAACCTTAACAATTGAAATTTGAAAAAAGCTAACTTCTCAGGATTTTTGATGTCGAAAATATGCCAAGTCCATCTTAATACTAAAATGGTGGAGATACAAATTTGATGCTTGTTGATGGATTAGTTCCTTTAAATTATGAATTATTTATATCCATCAGTCAATATTTCAATTTTAATACCTCATATTACAGAATCCAACGTTTAGTGTAAGTTATTGGTCCTAAAACTACATTTGAGGGGTTGTTGTAGCTGAACTCGAAAATCTAATAATATCCTATCGTTTCAATTAATATAGGGAGTTCTAACGTTACTCTAGATAATTGGGGTTGTTGTTGGCGAATTCAAAAAGACTTTAGATGAGATACCTTTTTTTATTTATATTCCCATGGTTCTTAGCCACAGATCTACCCTTGGTACTGTGTAACATGCGGGCAGCCGGCTTCAATAGTATCCGACTCTCTCCCGAAAAACAGTGCTCTTAGTGAAACTTTCACGCTCTTCGTGGCTTTGAGGCTTTGGGGCTTTGAGAAGTGAATGTAAGTCGATTGTCGTAAGCCGGCTTTGACGTCGATCCGAGACCGGAGACCTGAGGCACCCGGAGCCGCATGGGAAAGGAAAACAAGTTTCTTCCGACGCTGACGTCGACTGCTCTGCCGCCGTTGCGGCAACATTTGTTAACCTGTTTTTTATTATAGATTTTTTGTTGGTACGGGCATTTGATTTGGCCCGGTGGAAGGAGGAGGAGGAGCAGGGGTTCGAGGGGTTCCCCGCTCTGCAACCAGACCCGACTTTTGGTCGCTGCCGCTTGGTAACACTCGCTCCGTTGATCTTGTCAACTTGACCAAGTTATTTGAACTATGCACATGTGCAGACCAAACCGAGAGCTGAGCCTCTTGCTTTGTCATTTGAAGGCTGTTTGCCGGAGTTTCGCTTGGCTCTTGGGGCTTGGGCATGAATCTGGGGGTATGGATCTCGGGGCCTGGACTTCTGCCACTGCCACTGCAACGCAGCAGCAGCGTCGACGGCGCAAAGTGAATGTACTTTCAAACCAAAGATCCGGTTTAAAGCTGCCCGGGCAACAGATACAGCATTCAGACGACGACGACGATGACAACGGCGATGTTTTCACAAAAACGCTTGTGTAATACATATGGAGGGGCATAGCTATAGGTATAATTCCGTGCATGTCATGTATCTGTATCCCACAGAAATATACACTCACAGCTTTCGGCCACTAATTTCTTATTTGTTGCTGTGATTTTGATTGTGTTCATTTAAAATTTGAAAATCCCCAATATGGCTTACATAGCAAATCGAAACGGGTTGCCCGCCGCTTGATTATCGCATTGAAAATCCCCATAGACAAGCACCCGACTCCCAGATCAATGGGCTCTGATAGCTGGGCCAACAAGACGCCACAAGGAGGGATCATTATATGCCCTTTATTTTTGTGGCAGAGTACATTGGTTTGCCCAGCCATTTGGTCACAGAGAATTTCTCTAAATTATGGCATAGAAATTTGTTCGCTTTATTCAATGGAGAAGATCGGTTTGGTTCGCAATCCCCAAAATATTTCGTTACACTTTCTAATTGGGAAAAGGTTAAGAAGACGATCTTGTCAAACTTGATCGATTTCATGGCTCTACATCAATTGGTTGTCGGTGTCAATTCAAGCGGTTTATGTTTATGGCAAATTCGCAAGGGTAGCCTTTCCCTTCTTGTTTCAATATTTTATGTATATACCCTTACATACTTGAATCACAATCCCATCAACAACATCATCAATGTGCATTGTGAGTGTATAAACAGCCAAATGAATTGGTTAAGTGTGTGAGTGAGTGTTTTGTATACTATACAGAAAGAAAAATTAGATTGATATGATATGATGATCAAGTTGATGATATATACTCGTATGCGTATATAGAAAATCATTTTAATTAAAGAACATGAAATATATATACTTTTAAAACTCTCTTTAAATTTCAGGAATCAATTTAGGGCTTAAATAAGTAAAGTTGCAGCATCCATTTTTTCTAAAATGGCTCAAAATTGATTTTGGGGAAATCTATAATCCAATCCGCTTGGCTTTTTTATCTTTAGTATTTTTACAAGTCATAAGATCAATTCCACTTTCAAAGTACTTTTGTACAGTTTTAAATTAAAACATTAAAATTCGTTTTATTAGTCAGGTAAAATATAGAGATTTATAGGGCAACGGTGGGATTTAATCTCGGACTTAAGCCATTTTTTAAATCTAGATAAGACAGGTGTAGAGCTCATACCGACTTAACGTTATTCGTGTATCAAAATTGTATGAAAATCATTGAAGTATTTTTACTTTGCATAGATCTCTTTATTTTTTTCGGTGTAAATAAAATTTCATTTGCCAGTCGCGAGACTGTGTGTAATAATTCGTCATGCTGGCCGCATTTGAACCCGCATAGCTCGCTGCCTCCGTCTCTGCCGGGCAAAGTAAAGTAAAGCCGAGCCATGCCATTCCCAATATTTCGTACCCAACACCGCCCCTAATTTGCGAGGCAGATATCAGATATACTGAATGCCGGTTCTCTTAGCTCCGATCTACTACTCTTTTTTACTCTCTTCACGGATCTGATCGCACTCTGCCGGCGACGCTTCAAGTGGTTTTTACAGTTACATAGTATATAGAGAAAGAGATATATTGTGTCTTATGGCTGGCACAAATATTTTTCGCCACCGACTGACGCTTATTTGTATATTTTTCTTTTTCTCTTTTAATATCACATATATTTTATTTGATTTGTGAATCACATCAAAAAAAAAAAAGCAAAAATTTGGCTATATGGGTGTGTGAGTTAGGTTGAGTGTTCACTGGAAAAATAAAGATACAACTCAGTTGGCGTGGAGCGGATGAAAGACGACAAACGGTGTAGGTGTCTGTTGGTCTGAACACTCTCGTCAGCTTTTCTTTCCTGTTTATCTGCAGTTATATTTTAATCTGCACTTGAGATTTCTTTTAGAATATAATTTAGCATTATGCCAGCAACTCATGATTAGATTCCATGGCTGTCATACCGTTGGGGTTGATAATTTAATAACTTCCCCTGTGAATGAATTTTTGCTATTGCGGATTCTTGTTATCATTTAAGATTCCCCTAAACGAACACAAACACTATAAATATTTGCTACCATGTTTTGAAATTGTAAAGTCATACAATATTTTGAAATTCGTTAAAAGTTGAACGCTCCCTGCTATCTTGCCTAAGGCTAGTTTTCCACTAAAAGATAGTGGATAGTTTGTAGATAAGGATTTCTTTTTCAGGACACAAAGGACTGCCTATCTCCGCGGTAAAATGACTCATTTGCTATCAACTTTTAGGGTCTCTTTCAATTCCCAGCGGGTCACAGCACATTCTTATCGCCAATTATTTTTTTAGCATAAATTTCACTTGCCTGTGGGCACTCCCTTAAGCATAATAATGCAGTATATGAGTAGTTTGAACCAATGTTTAAAAACATATTTATGTGCCCACAGACTTAGCCTTTGAATTTTGAGCTTAAGTTGATAAGTTTTATTTATTCTGTACATTAAGCAAAAATTCTCTTATTTAATGATATGCTATTTTTAGCTTCGCATATGAAAAAGCAGCTGTGCCTGTGGCTTTTGTGCGCTCCTCGGAAAAATACCAAGAAAATGCATAAAAACATATGCCATGGCATCTAAAAATATGTGCTCGTGTTTAGGTATGACGACTTTCCCATAAATAATGCAAAAACCAGTGTGTACCAGGACATTGATCTTGTTCAGGAGTTGTTAATTGGCTAAGACATTCAGCACTTAGTCAGCATCCAGCGTTCTTTGTGCCATTGACGAATTGTTATTCTGGCTGAAAGCGACAGCAAAATAAGCCGCACAATACTTTCTGACCTAGTTCCATCATTATCACTTTTTCAAAAGCAGAGTTGAAGATCGCAGGCAGTAGTATCGTTCCAGCCTTTTAGAGATACGATACGCATTTACCCCTGTCTAAAAATAATAAATGATCTCATTTGTTATTCTCCTCTCCCTCAGGACATTTTAAAACGATCGTGTCATCGTCACATCTCCAGCCACTTGTTTTGGGCATTTTAAACGATATTAACACACGTTTGTAAATAAATGTACATGTGGATTGAAAATTAAATACACCATTCTGAATGTGAATGTGAATATGTATATTCTGTCGTGTAAACATACGCAACGCAGCAGACATTTTGCCGTCGATGTCTTTACAACTGAATCCACATATCGTCAGCGCATTGAAAAGTCTTTTGTCTTTTGTTCTGGCTCGATCGATGTTTCCCGTCATCCGCTCTGTCCATCTGTCAATTGCATTTAAAGCAAATATCGCCCATAAGAAATGGGCTATAATAAAGCAATAAATGTACACTGTGCAACAACAAGAGATTGGTTACGTTTGCACTTGTTTAAACAATTTCACAAAGAACTTCAGAGCCCACTACCTGCACTTGTTGATTTTATTTATATTTATATTTTTAACACTTAATTTTTCCTTTTCCCCTTGCAGGTGCACGATGAAGTTAAGCAGCATAGACCGGCAGTGCTTATTTCAGTCTTATCGTCATTGGAAATGCTTGACAATAAATTAGATTTTGTGCAAACTCTCCCGTCCGATCAATCCACTCAGTGGTCCGTCCACCATGATGGTGCAAATAATGGAAAAGAATACCGAAAAAGAAATACACCCCAGGCAAATCGCAGGTTCGTGTGATTTATATCACAACAAAAGGGTGGAGGGGCGAAAAGGAATCACAGATCGAAGATTAGGTACACTTCATCGAGAAAATACTAATCACCATACTATCGAGGAACATTTTATGGGTGCCACTTATAATAATATTATAATACTTAGCATTTCAAGCGAGAGAACTGAAATACTTAATGGGAACTGGAACGTGTTTATAGATAATTTCCTATCTGCATTTTGGCTGGCTTTACCAGAAACTGCTGAATTATTAATGAACGTTAATATAGCTTTTTTGCAGTAGGGTAACTTCCAGTCGCGTCTTCTTATCCAAAGTATTTTTCTGCTTGACGTCTTCGTCTTTGGCTATCCATAAACAAAATACGGCCAATGCGGCGTTGTTGAGGTCAATGATTTCTGTTGCGTTGTCTTTTTCACGCTTTTGACGCTTTTTTCGTTTGCCCAGTTATACGTTTGTATGTCTGTATGTGCGAGCATATTGAATATTAATTTTAAAGTTTTTCGGCTTATGTAAACACATTCAGCAAAATAAGTGGAACCATCGACCGCTGTAATGCCGATTCTGCAAGGCAGATGATGACATAATAGAAGATAGTTGAAAACCAACAACGAGGAGGAGTGATGTTCACTGGGATGAATCACGGCAACCAGAATATTTTGTAATTCATTGAACCTCCGACTAAGTTATCTTGAAGGTTTCTGATAAAATGATATTCAATTAGACTAAAAAGAAATGCATGTCGGCTGCTGATTCTGCGGGAAAAGTCCCAGAAATATGTCCATAAATATAATGGTGAAACAGTGGATCTCTTTCAGTAGAACATTCAAGACGAAACCATCAAAATGTCCAGATATTTGGCCTACCTGTGCCTCGTGCTGTTGTGGAGTGGCCACCTAAATGCCGATCACTTTGAGGAGTGTGAAGGGGTCGACGACGAATCGTTTGTGCAAAGTTGGGAAAGCTGCCAGTCGTACGTTTACTGCCAGGGTGAGGATTCGCTGAAGGGCGATTGCGATAAGGGGGAATACTTTGATTCGGAGACGGGAGGCTGCGATGTTGCTGCCAATGTACAATGCTTTCTGGACGAGGTCGACGAACCTGCAGAGCCGGAACCCGAACCGGAAGTTGAAGAGGAAATCGTACCCGCCACGCCCAAGCCAACGGATCCGCCAATTGAACCACCCAGCGAAGTGGATGTCCTGGACATTGCCCCAGTTGTGAAGCCCAGTTGCCCGACCAGCGATGATCCCAGTCAGGTGATTTTGATGGCCAGCAACGAATCGTGCACCAACTACTATCTCTGCTACCACGGACATGCCATGGAAATGCACTGCACCAATCAGCTGTATTTCAACGCTCTAACCGGACAGTGTGATTACCCGGAGAAAGCCCAGTGTGCGGTAGGTTCTTGATTCAGTTGTTACATCAATCTGTATGTTACATTGAGTATTATTTGCAGCTGGAGGACCCCCGCTCCCACAAATGTCTGCCACACATGACCGAGTTCTTTCCTCATCCGGACAATTGCAACTACTTCTACTACTGCATCAAGGGCTTCCTGACCCTCCAGCAGTGCCCCTTCTACTACGGATGGGACATCGAACGGAGGAGTTGTGTGCAGATAAGTGTGGCGAAATGCTACGGAAACTCCCGTCGAACCTAGAACGGAAACTCCCAGAAACAAATAACTCATTAAGGCTAAGAGAAGTTGTCTACCATTAGCTGATAAGCACTGTATTTATTGATAAGTTACAAGATTGTGGCAACATGAGGCCTTTAATTAAATATAAATTATTAGGAAAAACCTTGATTTGCCCCTAGCTGAGCTATAAAAAGCTTAGCACATCGCTCCGAACCACCACAAAAGATCGAGAATGCAGCAATCTTTGCGCTTTGGCTTGCTACTAATCGTCTACGGCGTATTTCTCGTTGTCTGGGGAATTCATGGCCTGGACATACCCGAATGCCGTGGTCAAAATGGAATCATCAACAATACCCGTCCCAATTGCAGTTTTGCCTACTTAAATTGCTCAGACCAGGATTCGTTATTTTGCTATGATCCCACGTCTTGTAGTGCCAACTTCACTTGTGAACAAATCGACTCGGTAGACAATTCAACTGCGTCACCCAACCAAACAACTCCAATAGTCGTAACCACACCAACACCGACACCGTCACCGTCATCAACCAGCTCACCTTCCGACATTCGACGTGTGTGTCGGCAGGGTGTAACCAGAAGGTTCAGTTATCCGCAAAACTGCAACTATTTCTACTACTGCGTGGATGGCTTTCTTCTGGTGGAGCAATGTCCCATTGGATACGTCTTCGATGCCGAAACTGGGGCATGTGGTCGTCAGCGAGCTTCTGCCGATTGTACGTTAAAATAAAAGGCTAAAAAGAACCAATTAATTAAGCCTCTTGTCGTGTCAAATAAAATCATTATAGCTAGAAAATAAAATGAATTTAGCGTCTTATCAGAGAACAAGCAATCCGAACAGAATTTCCACCTATAAAGAAGGCTCTGATCCGCGAGATGAGACAGTTGAAAGTCTATATGTGGCAGTTGTTGATAGTCTTTGGCTGCCTGTTGCCTGGATATCAGGTGCGGGCGGTTTTCCTTGAGGAATGCAAGGGTGTTATAATCCTCAAAATCCCAAATGAGAATAAGGAATGCAGCGAATATGTTCACTGCGATGGAGACGATTCGTACTACTGCAACGGGGACTGTCGTGAGGCCGTCGAGTGTTATGATAAAGACGTTACTACCAAGGCACCAGTTACCACCTTAAAACCTGTAGAGCCGACCACAAAAAACTCCACATCGGAAGAGCTTCCTGTTCCGGCAAGCACAACCACTGTAACCCCTACAACTAAAGCAGATACCACCTCACCATCGATTTCAACACCGGCAACCACAACTCCAATTCCCAACACCGATGTCCATGTGATCTGCAAGACAAGTGGAAAGAGTGGAGTCTATCCGTATCCAGCCAACAGTAATTACTATTATCAGTGTCTCTCCGGTTATCTGCTACTTCAGCAGTGCCCACAGAACTTTCATTTCGATGAGTCCCAAGGACAGTGTATTTCCAAAAAACCGAATCGTTTATCGGGCTTACACTTGTAAGATTCGCCTGTGAGTCTGTAATAAAGCTATTATCAAACCGTGTTCTTAGGCAAATTAATTTCTGATAAGCATTCAGGTGGTAAAGTCTGCATACGAAATTGATCAGTTTACTTTTCGAAACGAAGCGGAGAAGATGTATCAATCAGTGTTTGGATCCCTCCTGGTCCCGATCTTATTCCTTGGAATATGCCTGGCGGACGTTTTCGATGAGTGTAATGATGGCAATAGCCTGTCGTTCGTTAATTCACCAAAGAGTTGCGCACACTACATTTTCTGCAACGGCGATGAGTCATACGATGGCGAATGTGCGGAGGGCGAATACTTCAGTGCCAATATGGAAATGTGTGAGCCCATGGGCGATATTGATTGTCGGACGGGATCGGCGGTGGAAACGGAAAACAACGCGAATAGCTCAACGGATATTACGTCTGACGTGGAGACCAGTGCAACTCCTACAGGCGAAATCACCACTCTGACTCCGTCAGTGACTGTTACCTTGCGCCCATCAGTCAACCAGAATGGGACCACCAATTCGACTACGATATCTCCTGGCGCAGAGGTTATTGTAACCAACCAATGTCCACAGCTGGATAATCAAAGTCGCATCGCATTGCTGCCAAATCAGAATTCCTGCTCTGATTATTACATTTGCTATCGTGGGGAAGCACTTCCCATGAGTTGTGCCGCCAGTTTGCACTTCAATTCTCGCACTGGCAAATGTGATCATCCGGAAAATGTCAGATGTCTGGTGGGTTTTGTATACTATCTGATGGGGAGTCACATTACTTATCAATCAATTATTTTTTAGACCATGACATCAAATCCTCGGGAGCAGTGCAAACGACACGTAATTGATGTCTATCCACATTCGGGCAATTGCAACTACTTTTACCAATGTCGCTCTGGTTATTTGATGGTGCAGCAATGTCCTTTCTTCTACGGCTGGGATTACGAGAAGCGATCCTGTGTGGCACTAAGTCAGGCCAAATGCTATAACAAAATACAAATGCAAATGAAGCTTAAATAAATATCTATTATAAAATGCAACTATTTTTTCAATGGGCAACATCTGAAAGTTGGGTATTAATATACGCATTACCTAGGCGTATTTGTTTTAGGTGAAGTTGAACGACATTCTTGCCATTCTTTAATTAATTCTTTTGAGTTAAAAGCTAAATATCTCAGTATAATATTAACAAATCGTTTGTAGCATACTTTATTACTTAATTATGGAAGTATTAAGAACATTGTCATCAATTTTACCCTTATTTAGAGTTCAGTTAATTCTAATTTTTATTTTTGAGAAAATAAAATAAATTTACGTGTAACAAAAATCCTTCTTCGGCTAAAATTCGGTTGAATTTTGTATGTACGTCATATGTAAATTCCATCCGAATTTTAAGCGAAAAGATTTCATTTGGATTTAAAAGTGAATAAAAAAATGCAGTAATAAAAAACTCACTATATTTCTTATCATAAAAGCATTTGACCTTGAACTATTCTTAAATTAATCAGAAATTTCTAGTGATTCTTCACAGCTCCGTTTTATCTTTGCAAAATGTGAACCTTGAATTGAAACAACTGCTAAATTTTTTGACAAAAATAGGCCAACCTTCTGGTTCAATAGGAAATGGAACCTTTTGACCGATATGATAGCGTTTTCCTTACAAGGACAACTTTTATCACCGTATCACACAGCCAATTGGTACTGTAGCCTACAATCATTCTTAGCTAATCTCGACTGTCTTGAAATTAAAAAATCCCGTGAGCATTAAAGATGTATCTCAGTGCCAATTTGAGATATCATATCGATTGTTTTGCCAAAACAAAATAAAAACCGCAGCGTTATCAACTCCGTTGACAAGCAATTGAAAATGTTAATTTTCTGATATTGAGTGTGATACTTGGCTGTATCTTGGCGCCGTTTGTGTGGCATATATGCCAAGTTCTCCGGGCATTACGAAATTAGAATAAAACTGCGCTTTACTGGAGTCTGACACGAAAGATGAAGCTTAATACGGGTTAGTAGAATGAACTCTATCTGAAGCTTAAACTTGAAGTGATGACCACTTTTTGTTAACAGGATTATATTTAATGATAAGCTGTGTGCTTGGCTCAGCCCAGAGAAATTTGAAGCTATGGAAACCCACAAATTCGGTGACCATTCGACAGAGTGGAGGGGGCTTTTGTGCCAATCACGTGGCTGGTGACTTCGTGGAGCACGCGGAGGACTGTCACATGTTTTACCTGTGCGTCGAGAACGGAGATGCTGTCCTGGCCTCCTGTCCACCAACCATGCTCTTCAACTCGGAAAGCCGACTTTGCGATGCGGCGGGAAATGTGAAATGCAGAAACGGCACGGATACCAGTATGGAGAATACTTCCCCCGAAGGTGGGGATGGTGATCTGAACAACATGGTCACTGATGCAGCCACCTACTGCTCCACTTTGATGGAACAGCAGTCCAGCGAACGGATTGTTTATGTGGGAAGTTCTAGCAGCTGCAGCAAATATTACATCTGCTACTATGGACAGGCGATACTGCAGGAGTGCAGCTCCCAACTGCATTGGAATGCAGTGACTGGCAAATGCGATGTTCCCGACAGGGCACAGTGCACTCTGGGCGGTCGGGATGATGACCTGCCCTCCGGTGGGAGTTCCAGCTTTCAGCCGGGCGGATCCATTTCGAGTGATCTCATCCACTGTCCGCCCTACGGACAGCATTTGTACCCGCATATGCAGCGCTGCGAGTTCTTCATCTACTGCGTGAAGGGACACGCCAGTCTGCAGCAATGTCCCTTCTACTATTTCTTCGACATTGCCACCAAGAGTTGTCAATGGTCGCGAACGGCGCTGTGTGTCCGCGATTTGAATTTGGCGCCACTAATAAAATAGAAACTATACTTTAACTCATTGGTAAGCACTTATTTTTGAATGGGGACATTTTTAAACTGCCTTTTTTCGAGGTATATATATTATTTTTATTTAACATTACATGTTCTTGTAGAGGTCTACAAAAACAATGAGAAGAAATTACAACGATTTATTTGGCAATTTTGTGTTTAAATAATGCCAATAACCTTTAATGAATAGCGATTTAAATATGGTGCCAAATATAAATATATACTCTTATTCACCTCACTTGGGAACATAATTTTTATCCAGCTGTTATTTATAAAAAGAGATTTAAATCATTAGTATTGATATAAAAAACCGATTTAGTTTTCAAAATCGATATAATTTTCGAAATCTATATATAATATTAATGTTCACAAATATTGCAAATCGACTAACTTAAATTTGGCGCCTATAACATATAGAAACTCCATTTCTTGTGTACACACTGGCTGACGACTATCGGTAGTGACATCGCTCATCGATTTTAAGACTGTTATTTTTGGGCTAGTCGCCAACGGTCTTACAAATCCCACTATATATTGTTAAATTAATCATATTTACGACAATCTAAATGTAAGCGAAACGAAATGTGCAATTGGGCCGAGAAGTAAACAGCAACATGAAACTGAGGGTATATGAAAACGGAGCCTACGAAAAACCTTACTGAACACGAATTTTGCCGTCATCGAACTCAAACCCCAAAACTCGGAAAACCCTCAAAACATTCTTGTTTCAGGGGCAAAGGGTGCATTCAATCGGAACTTCAAGACCCGGGCGGCAGGTAATCTTTGCAAATCCAAAACAGCCACCAGGGTTTCTTTTAGAAAACAGTTGCCGGAAAAACATCCCGAGAGCTTGGGTAGAATCTTCTAGAGAAATTGTGGTTCAGCCAATAATGTTTGAGAATCTGCGTGGTATTTTCTGGAAACGACGTCGTTGCGATACGGACTCGCCCCCGCCAACCCCTCCGCCACCGACCACCCAAGGCCCAGGGATAATACCCGGATATCCGGAGGATATAGACGTCGAGACGCCAGAGCCTCTCTACAGTCCACAATCAGATAGGTAATTGAATTCTTGGCATTCACGTTCCCCCTCTCTCTTCTTGCAGCTTCAGAAACAAATAAAATTAAGCAAAGTAACAGCAACCACAGCATCAAACACTTCGTCACCCACGCGAAAAAAGCTTAAGACATTCCAAAAAAATGAAAACGTAACCGCCAGAGCAGCGGCAAAAACAAAAACCGAAACAGTAGGCAGCTGTCCATCTTGGGTTATAAACACTTGGCCGTATTTTGGAGGGCGGCCGGTTCAAGTCACTCTGGATCAGCCGCAGGATATGGAAGTGGATGCGCCACCAGCGCAGCAAACCAGCGTCAATCATCTCCAGAATCACCAGCACCACCATCATCAGCTGTACCCCCATCTGCAGCACCAGATCTCGCCCAGCGCCTACCACTCGGAGTCGTCAATGAATTTCGATTATTTGCAAGACCTGAGGGCCGGCGCCATGGCCTCCTCATCCACGTCGGGATCCGGAGGAGGAGGCGGCGGTGGCAATGGCGGGAGTGGCTCCTACGGACTCGTCGACGACAGTAGAGCCCTGGACAGGTTGTTATCCCATACTACCTAAAACAAAAATAGAATTCAGACACGAAACCGAAAACTCACAACCTTGTAGCGATCAAATAATTATAAGTTTCTTATCTATTATTTCTTCACACTATATACAGCTACCAGCTTCATTCGATTCTTTTGTTCCATAACAATAATGGTGATAGCTTAAAGTATCTGCTGCGAACGCCCACACAACTCCCAACAAAGAGCTTTGTGTGCGAGCGCCTCTTTTGTAGACCTATTCTGGTTATAATTTCGTAGCTCTATAAGGTTACATTCGATCCGAATAGCAGGGCGATCTAACCATTTAACGTTGCTTGTCTCTTTTCATGACTTAATCACTGATCCGCAACCACACTTAACCAACATGTGACAGACCATATAACGCCAGCGAGAGGTAAAGCTTGATTTTAATAGCCATTAACACTGACTAATCTTCGAGTGACTTGCAGATTCGTTAACATACTCGACCAGTTGGATGCACGGGTGGAGAAACTGCGAAAGGATGCACTCAACTTGCAGGAGAAGAAAGACTACCTCTTGATGTCCATGGATTTGATCAAGAGCAACGAAATGATGCAGAACATGAGCGAGGGTGAGGAATGCATATTAAACTTTTTGGTAGACCATCATAAAACGAGACAAGATTTATTTTTTTTGGAAAATAATATTTGCTTTAGAAAATTAAGCCATGCCATTGCAATAAATATTTGGTGAATGAGCTCAAACAACGTCCCATATTTTCAGGAGTTAATATGTTTGCCCGGTTACAAACAATGTTCACCACCTATTAAGAATAAATTTCTTTCTGCCTAAAAGCATATTGCATTTTGCAGATAAAAGATATGTTAGTAAAAAAATGGTGATTTTTAGACTTTTAAACCTATATTTGTGAATATTTTTACAACCTATTAAATAAATATTAATTAGCCTTTATTTTAGTACAAAGTATTCCCAAACTAAAAAGGCTGAATTTAAACTGAATTAATACGTATTGATTATAAAAACCATTGAAACAAAAGTTGTATGAAAATCAGATTTGAGTATATAATATTAACTTTGACACCCTGAAACCAAACTACTCTTCTTATATTTAAAGATTAACTAATTTGTATTTTATTTTAGCCGAACGCGAGGAGATCATGTTGTACATTCAGCGAGTTAGCTCACGTTTGGGCACCGTGGAGCTGAATGTGCGCACTGTGCGCGACAACTCGCAGGAGGACTCCCTCAGCCAGATAAATGCTTTGATCGACACTATGATCAAAATGGGCGATCCCGTGATCGCGCGCCAACGTTGCCAGTTGTACTTAAATGCCTGCTGCAGCAGCTCGATGGATCCATCCGGACAAATGGACACACTGCCTGAGGCGGATTTGGGACCCGTCGATAAGAAATTTGAGAGCGTTCTGCTCGGCTGCACCCTGGACGATCAGAAGAACATTAAGAAGCGGCTACAAGCCTTAATGGGTTATTTGAATAAGCAAACTGTTAACCATTAATTTAATTGTTTTTGGTCCATTAACTATTCATAGCATAATCAACAAACCAAACGAATTACATCACCAAGCCAGACGAAACGAATAATAAACAAAACATATACACAAGGCCGAAGGTTTTTTGAATTACATATAAGTTATATTTGTATTTGCTATTATTAGCTAGGGAAGCACATGTCCTTGGCATTTAAGACCCGATCACTAAGCACCCACAAAGCATCGTTGGAGCTGAAGAATATCTGCTGGATGTTCTTCGATGTGATATATATGATTTCATTGCCCTCGGCTGTGATGTTGGATAGTTTGGCACATCGCACTACGGCTCCGAATTTGGGGATCACATAGTACAAGGTTCCGAAATTGTCGATGATCATACTGCTACTGCTGCCGAGAAGGCTGCCCAAATGGGTGAGTTTGATGGTCTTCTCTATTGAACTCGAGAGCAATTCCTTTTTGCCCTCTGTTTCCAGTCTGTCCATGGTGCTGTAGAGGTCACCATTTTGATCGGAGAGGATGAGTTCACCCTGGAGACCGAATGTGAAATCCACCGGCTCAATGGGAAACGACTGGTTCATGTTCTCGTACTTGTGACTTTGTAGTGAGCGACGTTGCCAAGTCTGTTCCAGGATGTCGTACGCGACCACTTCCGGAGCCTGACCCAGAATGAAGTATATGTGGCGCTCCTGTTCGCATCTCGGACCCTTGGGTCCCATTCGCACCACCAGAGATTCGGTATCGTTGGCGCCTATATATTGCCCGCAATCGATTCTCAATACCTCCGCATTGTTGCGTATCAAATCGAAGACAAACAGTCGCGGCGAGCACTTGGTTCCCGGGAATCCAATGTCCATGACCCACAGTCGACTCAGTGCATCCACCTGGGACCAGTGGGCCTGCTGCAGAAGTGAGCAATCATCATGGTCCCCATTTGCGTGAACATCGCCGTGGGGAAACACCACAGTGGGCATGGGAAAGTACGAAACCGGCCACTGGGCTTCGATGAGAGTGGGAGATTCATTACTTTCCACATTGACACTGAGAAAAACTCGCGAGAAATGCATCGACAGGTGGCGCACGTAATAACTGGATTCGTTTGGGTCGGATTGGGATAGCAGCCAGGATTCAGTGGCTAAGGCCAAAAAAACTATAAGAAATCCCGAACAGAGGACTACTTGTGTCACCATCTTTCAGCCCGAATTCACACTGAGCTTAGAGTCAGTAGTCTGCTTACGTTGTAAGTGCCCTAAGAAGTCCATCAAATTGTCTACATCAGCAGTTGGTATCAAGTGACTGTGTCGTGAAAAAATCCGAATATCGGCGACCTGCATTAATGGGGACCTACATTGTGAGTTTTTCTCTATTTACCTATGGCTGCAAGCAAAAAAAGTTCACAAAATTAAGCTTAGAAAAAATTTACGTTACTATATAACGCAAAATTACTTACATTAAATTCAAAAGAAAGAATTCTTATTTTTTTTTATCTGCACAAATTATTTGGACACTTTTAAAAGACTTTTATCAACTTCCTATTGTGTTGAAGTATAAAACTAACTATTGCGGCGCGCTCCCCTGTTATTAATATTTCGATTTATAATGACTCCCATGTTTTTATATTTTATTTCATTTAATTTTTTTTAGAGTTTAACCTATTCTGTTTGAAATTGGCTTCAATTCACAGCGTTTTTAAATTTTGTTAAATCCTTTGAATTAAATGAATTATCTTTTGAAACTGAAAAAATGCCTGTGGCGATTTTAAACTATTAGGATTCAGAGAAAATTATTTAAAAATGCAGACCTCGGCGTTGGAAATCTTAACTGCATTTTTATTTATGTGCTTAAGAAAAAACAAAATTTAAAAAAAAATCGAGAAAAATATTTAATATCTTTGGTCTACGAATTGATATTCAACAAACATATTGGAAATGGGTAAACTTTAAATGGACTTGTCACCACTTGCTTATAAAAAAATTTCTCCAAGGAATTTCAATCTACATTTGAATGAAACTTTTCCAAAAGTCTTCTTTCTATTCCAGGTAGTGTCGGATCGGACAACTATATAAAAACAACAACAAAAATAAATTTAAAAAAATGTAGTTTAGATTTTTTTTTAATGTATACGGATATATTCTGATTTTTTTTTAGTTTATTGTAATTCTTAGATGTTTTGTTCATATGATATGCGTCACTCAACCTCGATAAGGTTCTTGTTAACTGAACCTACCTTAAGTGTTTGTTTCAAACGATTACTTGTCACCACTTGCTTGTAAATTTGAAAATTTCTCCAAGGAATTTCAATCTACATTAGTCTCTCAGTTTTAGAGTGATTTGAATGAAACTTTTCCAAAAGTCTTTCTGTTCCAGGTAGTGTCGGATCGGAGAACTATATAAAAACAACCAAAAACGAGGACGGAAGCTAACTTCGGCAAGCCGAAGTTTTAATACCCTTGCAGACTTTGACGAAATTGCTAAAAGTTAAAAAGTAGCGAAAGGAATAAGGTATACATAAGTAAACTAGATTTGCATCGTTTCAAGTCAATTGCTTTTATACTGCAAAAATGTCATATACAAATAGAAAAAAATGGATACTTTCGCAGCCTTTAACAATTTTTCCTATCTCCTTTAAGATATAGACACTGCGCTTACACACTGCGCGAAATATTCTGATAATCATCAAATTTGGACCGATTTCACCCTATTGTTCCTATGGGAGCTATAGGATATAGACGTCCGATCGGCACGCGCTTTCACCTTGATCAATGTATGCATAAAAAAATAGGATTTGGAAAGATTCATGTCAATAGCTTGTATACTGCGTGAAATATCCTAAAAATCATTAAATTTTAACCGATTTTACCCTTTTGTTCCTATGGGAGCTATAGGATATAGACGTCCGATCGTCACGCGCTTTTACTCTAATCAAGGTACGCATAAAAAAATAAGATTTGGAAAGATTTATGTCAATAGCTTTTACACTGCGCGAAATATCTTTCATTCTTGCAAGTTATATCCGATTGTTCCTATGGGAGCTATAGGATATAGACATCCGATCGGGGCGGTTTTCAAACTTGATCTGCGTACACTTGTTTTAGGACGACTGTGAAAGTTTCAGATCGCTAGCTTTTAAACTGAGCTCGCAAACGGTATTGAAACAGACGGACAGACGGACAGACGGACGGACGGACAGACGGACAGACGGACAGACGGACATGGCTATATCGACTCCCCTATTGATCCTGATCAAGAATATATATACTTTATAGGGTCGGAAACGTCTCCTTCACTGCGTTACAAACTTCTGACCAAAATTATAATACCCTCTGCAAGGGTATAAAAAAAATTTAAAAAAATGTAGTTTAGATTTTTTTTAATATATACGGATATATTCTGATTTTTTTAGTTTATTGTAATTCTTAGATGTTTTATTCATATGATATGCGTCACTCAACCTCGATAAGGTTCTTGTTAACTGAACCTACCTTAAGTGTTTGTTTCAAACGATTATTTTAAAAGGTAATTAGTGCTTGTGTTTTTTAGTGGCAGTAAAATATTATCAGAGCTTTCCACTTTTACTGACAGCTATAAAGATTATTTTCAGAGTACTAATTTTCGGTTGGGTATTGCCAGAAGGCTTGAGTAAACCCCCCAAAAACTTAAACTCAATCATTGATTAGCTTTCATTTTTACGTGCAATCTTGAATTAATCTATTAAACAGCAAAATTATTTCCTGCTTAGTAATATATACTGTAACGAACCGCTACACTTATTAATACAAATCAGGCTGGATGTTGTCTCGAGATACCAGCGCACGCGAAAAAATATATCCGGCTCTGGCTCTTCGGCTATGGGTGTGATGGTCTTGCTGTTACCTCGGAATGCCTTCCCTAATAATAACTAGATACTCGCGTGCATCACCAAACTGAAACCGGGTTAGAGAAACACACACATTAAATCATCACTTTATATTCCCTACTTTCCCATTTTGGCTGACTTCTCCTTTTCGCCTCCCTGGATGTTGTGGAGGTCCTGGTCTTGCCCACCCTACCAATGGTCGCTCATATCCTCAGAGCTTAACAGCCTGAGCGACCCCTTTAACAAGTGCTACTCTACATTATAAGACAACGCTAGCTGCGGCCACTTTTCACCTTAGCAAAACATTATAACATTTTATTAATAACTAGATATATAAACCATTTCTTAAATTAAACCGTAAAAAGACAGGCATAAAATAAATAAATAAATATAAACAATGAATAAATATATATATATAAGTTAAAATAGGATAAATAATGGGTGTGTAAGGCAATTTAAAAAAACTTGTTGGTTGATGCAAACATGGTTAACTGAGGCATGGGGATCATATCACTCGAGAGAAAAATCTTCATATTTTATTTAATTTGTTTCTAATCCAATTTTGACTTTAACTTTATTTTCACCATTTAAACTGAAGGATGCATCACGATATTCATAATCAGCTTTTAGTTCAATCTGAATTCAATTTAATTTACTTTACTTTTTTTTTTTGAGTGTAGCAATTTTTTTTGTTTCTTTATTTCTCCATATTCGTTTTTTTCTTTTAGGTTAGCATTATAGACTTTAAGCTATTTCTTTTGACTTTTCTTATAAGATTTTGTATAGATTTTCTTTTTAAAAACTCACCACACTTATGTCCATCCACCGACGAAAGCGCTTTCCTCGTTGACGATGGCTAAATAAGGTTGAATAAGGGAAACACACTCACAGAGACATATATATTTTTTAAATCAGGAATTAAATAAAAAGCGGAATGTACAGCCCGTGAAGACCTTCTGATGGCATCAGCACTACCTTCTCCGGGATATGAATAGGAATTTATCCCCAAACCACACTTTCACCGAACAAAATAAAATCAAATTTTTTTTCTCTACTTTTGACGAACGAACACTTATTACATAACTTAAACCGAATTTTAAACCTAAACTTCCCGCTTATCCGTGGCGAGTACTCCGATAACCCTTCCGACCGGGATTTGGCCGAAACGGCGAGGATTTTCTTGGCCTAAGTATGGTCTTTCTAACTCCCCGAGAATTACTTTTAAAAGCACAGACCGTAGCCGCGACGTCGCATGCGCACTCCGAGCAAAGAGAAACTGATAAATCGGTTCGATCGAACCTGTGTTTAGTTCGCCTCGATTAAACGGCTCGATGGTCAGACGGCGCCTAGCTCACTTTTCTGGCTTATGAAATTTGGGGCTGACACACCGGATAATGGGGATGATTAAAGATGGAAATATGAATAGACACTTCGTTTCGCCCTTCCTTGTGCGCTGTTGTTCCGAGTTGAATATCTGGCGTGGAGGTTGCTCGCTCGTTATGTGAACTGCGCGGGCGCCCGTTCGTCTCGATCGAACTCGCCTTTATTTTACTTTGCCGCCTTCGAACATCAATCCAACGGTGGCCCTTTTTATGAGGCTTAAAGCCAAATTGTTTAACTCCTTCCCTTCGGCACTAAAGTGAGATCACTCGCGTGTACTTTCGAATTTTAATTTAGTCACTGCGAATTCTCGACTTCACTCTGCTGCTGCCAAACGGAAAAAAAAGAACACGCCGCCGGAAAAGTGGCGGTAACCCCAGATCGAATTCAGGGTGAATGCGGAGACAGTTGACACTTGCCACTGTTGCTCTCTCGCGGCTATCCTACCGATATCTACTAGTCTCTTATCAACTCTAGTGGCAACGCAATACCTTCTCTCCAACATCCAACAGATGGCGCTAGAAAAGTATCTTTTTTTCCGAGCAAGCGCTACAAAAATACCCCCCCATCAAGATCAGACTTGGGGCAAATACTCCAAGGCTGAGAACACCACAGCTTGCGAGGCTACTGTTTAATATCCTTTGCATGGAACCTGCCCACATCATGCCCCTGTAGGTCCTCGAGATCATAATAAGCTTGCCCAATCCTTTTCTTTACTCTTGCTTTCACGAAAGCTGGACCCAATTTCGCATTATAACCAGCTGCGAAATTGCTCTGTTTGAAGTTTCTTCGATAGACCTCTTGACCTTCCCTAAAAGATACTTCTCTTGACCGCAAATTATACCTATTCTCATTCTTTTCAAACTGTTTTTTCATCACCTCTAACGCTTTACTGCGGACAAGTTCTAGAGAATCTTCCTTTGAGAATGCCAACGATCTATCTTCGAGCAAATT